CACACACACACACACACACACACACACACACACACACACACACACACACAGCCAATATTTTGTGGCGTGTGACAAATCAAAGTCAGACAAATCTGCCTACATTCCTATTTCTAATCATCAACACTCCACACAATAACCTTTCTATGTCAAACAGCATTCAGTAGAAAATGACACAGTGATGTACATGATAAATGTCCAGATCACAGCGATTCAAAGGGGACTATTGATTTTTCCCATCAAGGTTGAATTATTTCAAACTCTTCACAGCTCGAGACAATAAACTGTCAGTGTAGAACAACGTGTAGACAGGAAAGACAACAATAAAGAAGTCGAATCTTCTCTTTGACAGTAGCTGGATCCCCTTTTGCCTTCCGGACTGCTTTAATCCTTCGTGGCAGAGATTAAAGAAGATGCTGGAAGCATTTCTCTGAGATCTCCATATTGACATGATAGCATCACACAGCCGATGCCACCACATCCCAAAAGTGGTCTGTTGGACTGATATCTGGTGACTATGGAGGCCATTTGAGTACAGTGAAGTTCCCTTCTTATCTGTCGAGAGTCCCACCCAGTGTGGTCTTCAGCGGCTGTATTCCATCTGCTTCAGGGTTTAACGTGTTGTACGTTCAAAGATGCTCATATGCACACCAACAACAAGCACCCCAGTTTTTTTCTCTGTAAACTTCATGGTTATGAAGGAAAATCCCAGCAGATTATCAGTTTCTGAAATACTCAGACCAGCCTGTCAGGCACCAGCAACCATGACACTTTCAGAGTCACCTTTCTTTCCCATTGTGATGCTCAGTTTGAACATCAGCAGGTCGTCTTGACCATGTCTACATGCCCAAATGCACTGAGTTGCTGCCATGTGATCGGATGATTAGATATTTGCATTAATGAGCAGCTGAACAGGTGAACCTAATAAAGTGAGCAGCTAAGATAACAAACAAACAAACAAACAAACCCATCTGCACTGCATACGTCTTTGTTTAATACAATCCGCTTTCTCTATTACAGCAAACAAATTATGTTACCAGTCGAGAAAATACAACTTCAGTGCAAAAGTCTTTTGGATGCAAAGAAGCCAAAAGGTGGCAAACATGTACCAACCCTTCAGGAAACAGAAATATAGAGCTTCGTTTCCACTCCACTACATCTTTGTTTCCAAATTATTTGTTAAAAATAGAGAAAGGTGAGAATTAGTATAGCAGTATAGCAACAGGAGAAAATTCAATCCAATCAGACACACACATACATTCAGGCAAGAAATGTGTGAACAGTGGTCTATGTGTCCATAGATAGATAAATAGATAGATAGATAGATAGATAGATAGATAGATAGATAGATAGATAGATAGATAGATAGATAGATAGATAGATAGATAGATAGATAGATAGATAGATAGATAGACTAGTCTAGTAGATAGATAGATAGATAGATAGATAGATAGATAGATAGATAGATAGATAGATAGAACTCAAGAATAGATAATTAGTGGACTCACAGTTATTACCTGTTCGTCAGATGTGCTGAGCTGTCATAGATCCTTCCTGCTTTCAGTTGTCCTCCTTCAAGTCGCTGCAAGACACAAATTAAAACTTGACACAATCTTGCTACAACTTTGAATCTGACGGTTTTATCTATGATGCCTCCTGTAATTACAGATTAACTTGCTCCAAAAACGATTGGAAATAAACTGTCACACACCTCTTTCTGTCCAAGACGCTCCTCACACAGTCATGTAGATGCTTTCCTCTCCACTAAGCAGTCGATAATGAACAAGTGTCGCCCACCCACTGTAACCCCCCCCCCCCCCCCCCCCCCCCGGCCCCCCCCCCCCCCCCCCTTTGGAAACGATGCCAGTGTCTGTTAACTCCTGTTTTACTGTGTGTCGGTTTCTGTTTGTGCGTGAAGCCTCCAGCCAAGATGAGCACCTGGGAGGTCTGCGTGGGAGGAGGAGGTTAAGGACTCTTCGGGAGAGAAAAATAACGATGAAGATAAGCCGCCTGCTGCCCATTCACGAGCACCAAAGCTGTGCGAAATGCTTCATCGCAAATCAGCTATCTCGGTGGGTTTCATGATCACGTCACATGCCCTGGTGGATAACCGGTTTATGTGTGTAAAACAGCACAACAGATCCACAATAAATCTCACGTGTAACTACACGGCACTTATTGCTATGACAACATGCATGTGCTAGTTGGACTTTGGGGAGCTCGTGTATGCGTAACCCCGATGCCATCCAGCTTTTTACTCGCACTCCCACGCATCATATCCACGTTCACAAACGGTGCATTAATATGCATGAGCACATACAGTGGGGAGAAAAGTAGCTTTAACATGCAGTCATATAATATACACAACTGTGTGGCACGAACAAAGAAACAACAAGTGAACAAACTGCGCAGGATTTGGAGACGAGTTGAAACATTTTCTATTTGTTTCTTTACTCGTTTTATTGTTATGTGGTTGCCTCTGCCTCTTTCTTGGTCAAGTCACTGTCGAAAAGGAGACTTTTCCTGGATAAATAGAGGATAATTAAAAATACATAAGTAGATAAATAAAAGCCATTGAAAAAAGCCATTAAACATAACAGTGGATGAACTTTTATTTTTCAGAGTGAAACTATTCAACAAACAGAATCAAGATGTTGTAGAGGTATTTTTATTTTATTTTATTGGGCACCACCAAATGTGACTGCTGAGACTGGAGACTTTGGAAGCTGTTCTGGAGCTTTTAATTGACAGTTTGGTTAAGTTTGATGTTCAGAGACAAGAAGACTAGAAATATAAAACTTATTAAAAATTTTGCTATGTTGAGTTTTTGTCAACTGTTCCAGAAAGATTTAAGAAAGATTAGAGATAAAGAACAGTCTCAATCTTCACACCACGGACAAAAGGCAGCTCTAGAACCAACATCTTCTCCTTCTTCTTCTTCAATTTTGATTCCTTTATGATTTTTGCTTATTATGTTTTATTGTAAAATGCATGTTATTGTAATCTAGCATTGTCAGAAGCTAAATAGAACAGCTAAATAGACAGGACTGTACATAGGACAGGGCATTCCTGTGAAAAAACTAAACATACCCTGACTGCTTACATGGGAATTAAAAGGGTAAATACTTCTAATCAAATGCATTTGATTAACTGATTATCAGTGAACTTTACCATCCTTCATGAATACTGAAGTTTGGGGGTTTTATTGTGTCTGTGTTAATGCCACAATCTTCCCAGGAGTAGAAATCACAGCAAGTTCACCCCAAAATCAAACCACGCAGTGCTAAAATAAATGGAAAAAAACAAAATTTACCATACTAAATGTTAATCTTCATGACAGTACAGTTAAAGAAAGACTGAACAAAATCAGTCTTTAGAAAGCTTGTCAGGTGAAAGCCTCCTCTCTCTAAAAAGAACATGGCAGCATGGCTTAGCTCTGCAAAGTTATATCTGAAAGAACCACAAGGCTCCTGGAACTGTGACCTTTGCACAGATTAAACTGAAGCAGACATGTTTGGCTATAATTCACAGTCTGACAAAAGCGAAACACAACATATCAGCACAAACACCTTTTACCAGCACTTTGGTGGATGGATGAGCTTATTTTGTGAAAAACAAAAGATTCAACATGCTGCAACGGCCCAGTCAAAGTCCAGACCTTAACTAAGTGCTGTGAACTGCAACATTATAAAGAAGAATAAAGAAGAATGGGTCAAAACTCCTTACAGTGTTGGTTTCACAAGCTGCTGAATCATGGATGTATTTAGATTGTCACAGGACTGCACAGAGTCCTTTGGAAACTTTATTTTTTACATGACTGTATATAGAATTCAGCTTTAAATATATATTTAAATATTTTAATTTTAAATTTAGGAGCATCATTCCTAAACTGATGAACTGTCACAGAATGGTAAGCTCTGTAACATTTCATTTTTGAGAGACTCTTTAGGATTCTCCTTTATTGTCAATGTCTCCAACATTCAGCTTTCAATTCAGCCTTATTTATGTTGCGCAACATTTCAGACTGAAAGGTAAATCTTTACAATGTTCTAAAGAGAAACCCAACAATATCCTCGGATCACCAAACCCCCCTCCCTTTTAACAGGAAGACATCTCTGGCAGATCCAGGCTCAGGGAGGTTGACCATCTGCTTTGATCAGTTGGGGTGAGTGGAAAGCAAAGACAAAAGAGAGATGATAAACAATTTAGTTTTTAATGGCAGTAGCAGCAGATCAGTAACGTGCAGCACTTGAGCTAGAAAAAAAAATGCAGAAAGAGTGAAAACACAGAAGGTTGCAGAAATAGTGCAACATACTAATAAATGCATGGTGGGTGAGAGAGAGGAAAGCAGAGAAGATGCACAATATAGCATCTACCCCAGCATTTTGAGCCTATATCACTGAACAACAGATCCAACCTTGAATATAAGATTTATAAAAAGGACTTTAGGCCTAATTTTGAAAGTAGACATGGTGTCTGAGTCCAAACCGTGAGCTGATTCTACAGAACAGGGTCCTGAAAGTTGAAGGCTCTACCTCCTACTATACTTTTTAAAACTCCAAGAACCACGGGGATATTATGAGTCCCACAGGCAGCCAGTGATAAGTGGCTAACAATTAGATATAAATATGGTTTTGTCAGGTAGTAGAGCTATTAAACAGCCTCGCAATAAGGAATTGCAACAGTCCAGCCTAGGATCGGGATATCTCTGTAGGTTTCCTTCAAGTTCCAATCTGGCGTATGACCACAGTGATAGGAGCAGTCCGCATTACCATGGCAACCCAATTATCCTGCCATAACGTGGGAGGCATGGATCATGTATGATCCATGTTTAGATAGTGTAATTATTCACCCGCTTGCAGGAAGAAACATTTGTCTTAGTGTTATCTTTCAGCAGCAAGAAGCTGCATTCTTACTCAAGTCATTATAGGTGGTTCGTTTAGTCCGATGGGAAAGTGTGCTGGGTTTTGATGAGTTTAATAAGTGTATTAATTGATACATACTTGACCACCGTGTTACCAAACAAATTAAGTAAGTTTGACAATTACTGCATTAAAATAATACAGAATAACTACTGCTGACTGGTAAGTGCTGATTAAATAATCACACTGGAATCAAATTAGGGGCCCGCTGTTACCCACTTAATAGCTGTCCATTAGTTACCTAGCAACACACAAGGTATTAATGTTGCGGTATTAGGGAAAGCCAACCTAGATAGCGAGTCTGAGCTTTAGCTGGTGTTTGCACAATCGCATTCTTGTCTCACAACATGGTGCAATAGTATTATGAAGCCCAGGTAAGTGGAATGGAGCATGCTTCCTCTGTCCTGATAAACATAACAAGCGCACACACGGCTCGCTCATAAATTATTTCTCAAAGGGGGGATTTTAGCTAAGCGGTGCCCTAAATCGACCCTCTCCCATTATGTGTCCAGATGTTATTTTAAGGCTTTAAACATTACACAGCACATTCAGTTCAGGTGTTTGGTCCTCAGAGCACAAATGATTCACTGGCAGTGCATTACACAACACCAAAAATAGCTTTTCCAAAACAATTTAAAATCACAGTAGCCCTGATCTATTCGAAATTAATAAAATACAAATAAAAACAACATTTCCTTTTTTTTTTATTTTCCCCTTAAATAGCTTTAATATTTCACCTTAAAATCTAGAAGTACTGGTGCGAATGTTTACTTTTTATTGTCCTGGAACATAAGTGTACCCCAAAAAAGGGTTTACTATTATGTAGCTTGCAGGCAGAGAAATGCACTTCCAGTGTTATTTTGAACACACTTGTCACTGAGCAAAGTGGAAAATGAAATATTAGAGGCATATGCAGTTATAGCAACACAATGGAAAGGTTCCTTTCTATGAATTATCTGAGACCTCTGTTCAAAGGTATGCTTTGAATAGCTGATAGCGGACACATTTAAGAGATAAAAGAAGAGGTCACTATCAAAAAGCCTTGCTAAACACGGAAAGGTCAGGGAATAGATTCTTTGCTTTGAAATGTCAGTTGATTACTCTTTAACTGGCATCACGAAGCTATCTGAAGGTCCTGCAACATAAAAAAGAGGGGTAAAGTAATCAGTTACTGTATGTCTGTGATTCGCAGATTTTAGCACATTTCACACATGCGGTCCTTTCTATTAACATGACATTATCTGAATCTGTTGGTTTCGTGTTCGAGCACCCTGACAACGTTTGGATCAGACCCAATGACATTAACATATCAAGATAGTACAACTCTAAACAGCATTCAGTCGGCCATTGTTGAAAAAGCAGAACTCCTTTTATATCTGACAAACATTCCCTTTTCAAATGTTCTACAATAAAACAAACAAAAATACCAAAACAAACTTTGTAAACTGCCAGATGAGCACAAAGTCTTTAGCAAAATGTTTGAAACATAAAATTTTGCAGGCTAAACTTTTATAAAAATACCGCTATACTGACATTTTCTGAAGCAGTGGTTTCCAACAGAGCAGTTCGTCAAAAACTCTTAGAGTCTAAGATGACATGAATTTAAAATACTGGGAGGCCCACAGGTGCCTGTAAATCGACTCTACAGTACAGTATGAAACAATAAATGACCAGCAGCATGTTTGTTTGGTTTTTTTACAGTTATACAGGTATTTTATTTGAGCAAACCATTTATTTTACAAACTTGATTATTGCTTGTATAATATTGTAAAAAGTTTAATATTTTATAAGCAACTTACATACGAAAAAAAAAAAAAAAAAAAAAAAAAAAAAAAGTAAGTTCACCCAAAAGTAAAAGAAATGTAGCAGAATATCGGTTTCAGTACGAAAAGGTTTCATAGCAAACATACTTATTAGAAGTAAACCAGTCATCTCCAGTGTCATTTATTACATGTTGCAGGAAAGATGCACTAATGAGATCATACCACACTGGTAAATTGGAAATGAATTATTAAAACTTAGTGTTAATACATTTAAGGCTGCTGTGCACATTTTCAAGTTAACAAACAACATTCACTCCTTCTTGGCTGATTTACAGTTTCAAACTGGACTTTTGTTCAGTGACAAGAAACAAAACTATTTAAACCTCGAAACAGTCTCAGTGGAGCTAACTGCTGAATATCATCTCCTCCAGGAAAAAAAAAAAAAAAAAAAAAAGCATCGTTCTCTTTCTGAAGCCGATAAAAGGTAACTGGAAGCAAATATGCCGAAAATGAGAAAGCCGATTTGACAAGTGTGCATCCAGAAACATCCAACATGTGAAGTAATGTTCATATGAAACACCTTTACTGTAATTCTGGCTGTGTAGTTACTTTAACAGATGAGAGGATGTTACACTGAATGCAACTTGAAAAATGTGATGCATCAGTAGAATTATCATTAGGAAAAAAAACACATTGGAAATTGGCTCTATTGACATTTTTTGCATAGATTTTATACAATACACTGTACCATTATTTAAAGAAAAAGAAAACTGGAAATACTAAATTACACAAACTTTGATTTTACTTTGGCATTTGTTGCTGTGTTAGTGGCAGAAAAATATTGGTTCTTTAACTGAGATGAATAAACAACAGTGAATTTTTCCGGGTGTATCCAGTGTGTCCAGTTAAATTTTGGTCAGCTGCTGGAAAACAAATTAAACTCGGATTGTTCCCAAATAACCTTGTGGACAAATTACAAATTACTTAACAAATAAATTCTAAATGTGTGAATGACTTAACACTCCTTGCAGAAGAACCGGTCTATAAAATGTTCTCAAAATGCTAATTTAAATTGCTTTAAGTACAAATGATGATAATCGCTACAAATATCTCAAATGCTGTTATTCAAGCAGCGTCATTTCACATAATTTACTGAGATCAGTTATAATTGGATATGCCACAAATGAGAGAAAAAAAACAAAACAGATAACAGTCTCATTTTCTACAGACTGATCTGAATGAACAAACTGATCTGTCTCAGTTTGTTTACTTATCTATTTTTGCATTACTGGAGTATAAAGGCCACGGTGCAACTATTTGGGGTAGTATGTGTTCTCCAAGTGAGTCTTCATTCCTTGGCTATGGCATTAGTCTGTGTAAAAGTAGAGCCACCACACTAGTGTTTGGGATAAGAGCACTTAGAGTGTTTGACAGCCTCCTCAAGCGACTTCCTGGTTACTAGCAGTCGTACCACATCCTCTCTCTTCTTTGTTAGTTTTTTACGAGCCTGATCATGAGTCACCATGGTCATGTCCCAACCGTTCACCTGGAAAGAAGGAAGGAACTTAGTTTGAAATAAAAAGAATCAAATACCAAAAGTAAAAGTCATCACAGCACTGCTCCTGAGGTACACAGTGCCATCTTGTGGATCAACTATTCCAAAAGAAAAACTTCATTTCACTAAATACCTGCATTATTTTGTCTCCCATCTTCAAGCCGGCCAAGTCTGCTGGGCCTTTAGGTGATATCCTGGTCACATAAATGCCCTGTGAAAACAAAGAACTCATCATTTCATTTTTTTGCCACAATTGGAGAGCAGGTCTGGTTTAAAATGGGTAGTCCAAAATAATACAGAATATTCCTGAAGGCCTTTGCCTTCAATACTGCCAGTCTGGCAGTACAGGAGGAGGATCCCAGGGGGAAAGCATCAAGTGCTTAAAGTGTAAAGGATACACTAGCATAAGAAATTATTTTTGTCCCATTAAAGTAAAACTAGGATTAAAATAAAGAGAAAAATGGACAGAGGCCTGATCTGTTGTTAATTTAAGGGCACAGAGGACATCTCTCACAACAAAGTTCCTGTAATGCTCAAAAATATGTTAATAAAGGAAACAGTAAAAGTGTAGAAGCCAGTATCTAAGTCTTATTCCTCTCTAACAAATCAGCTGGTACATTTCTGTGCAGTCAGCATGACTTAATGTAAACCTGAAGTCTTCCTCTCTGTGGCTCTGCTGAGTTTGTTTAGTCACCACCCGAGGCCATGAGTAATGTGTTCAGGCCTGTAGTTAACCAAAACGATAAGTACTTTGTGGATACTTGTACCACTAGGCTTTAGCGCAATTGCAACTTGTGGGTGGATATTCAGCATCTTGCCAAATTAAGAATAAAATCCACATAACCAAAACGAGTGACCCGAAGACAGAGCAGCTCATCATCTTAAACTTTGATCACATTTATACTAAAATCCACCGCTGTATATGTATAACCATGACAGAAAACATGGAAAATATATAATTTCACTTTTGATAGGGTCATTTGTGGGTTTATTCCTTTCGGCTACATCACTATTGTCTACAAATATTCTATTAAGAACAAAGGGAGAGAATCAAAATGAAAAAACTGCACGTAAAGAGATGATAGCTGCAGATAAACTCACTTTGTCTGACTTGTCCTCAGAGAAGGGATTCTGCCCGGGGTCCTGGTCTATCCCTCCTCCGATGCTGAAGCCAAGGATGAGATTCTCTCCTTGCCGCAGCTTCTGAATCTCAACTCGTTCCTGTTTAACAAAAGAAAACAAACTTAAAAACATTAAATACTGTTGAGGAAAATATTGGGTAGGCTTATCACCAAGCTTTCTCGCGTGCTGCTCAGTCACGTTTGCTGAAATGTTCTTGTTTCCATCACTGCTAATGTTAATACGATAAACTCCAGTTAAATTAGGTTGACAGGACCATGGAAAGAACGCAATTGCTTCCCTTCACATTTCACTACGATCGGATTAAAAACTCTTCACTATGAAGGTAGAAAAACGAAACACTTCCATACCCATAAATAATCAGTGTTGGGCAAGTTAGTTTGAAAAATTAATTAATTATAGTTACTTGTTACTTCTTCAAAAAATTAACCGAGGTAATAACTGAGTTACAAGACTCTAAAAGTAATTAATTACTTGAAAAGTAACTATTGCGTTACTTGTTGTTTAACCCTCTGGGGTCCAGGCTATAACTGGCCATTTTGACTACTTTTGATTTTCCCTCTACATTTCACCTTTAAAACTATTTACTTTGTCTTGTTTGGTGTCATCCTTTTCAGCACAACCTCACGTGTCTGAATTTTATTGAACCATGTTTCATAACTTTAAATGCAAATATAAATGGTCAATTTTAAAATCATATGCACAAGTTTTGCAAACAACAGTTATTTGCAGCCATTTACCTTTTACCCTTTTTTTATAACCACTTTAAACTATTTACAGAACAATCAGCTGTTCTGCATTCAGTAAGATGCCGCACAAATTATTTGTGCCACTCCAAAAAAATAAAAATAAAATTTCTGTCCACTATAAAGGAGAACATCACAGCCTGATCCCTGCAGGTCTGACAGCAGCAGGTGTATCACTCCTGTTTTCTACCTGGAGACAGCAGCCGCCTCATTGTTCTGACACACAACACAAAACTATCCACAACACTACACACTAACTACACAAGACGGCACATTAACTACACACTCCAAACACGCTAAACGTTACCCTCTCCCTCTCTCTCTCATGTTGCCATGTCATTTTTTGATTGGTCGACATGGTGCATTTTTCCACCAACACCAAAGGGCTGTTTTTTGTTTCGTTTTTAAAATTTTTGGTCATAAGCAGAGAGGTCTCGCTGCGCTGTCCTTAGACAGTAAACGTGACGAAACTATTGAGGAAAAAACACACGTACATATTGTTTATCATGACTCTGGTTTTACGAGGCCTATCAACACAATTTAAAAACTGGTTTATATATCACCTTGTTGCTTTGTCATCTTGAAGTGGTCATGTGATTGGCTTACCATGACTACTTTATTCTTCCTCTGTCAAACAGCAGCACTCATGGGATTGTTTTCCCCCTTAGCTCCAGGTGTGTGTCAAAAAGTGATCATCTGCCAGACAGTGATTGCTGTCCGCGGGAGCGTGCGCAGCTGCTTAAAGCTGTAGCGCCCAGATTACTTACAGCTACGTCCGTGCAACTGATATAAGATGCGGTAAACTGAACACAGCTTCAACCGTCTGTTTGTTGAAAAATCGTAACGCGACCACACTGCATTTTCTTGTTAGTAACTGTAACGGCGTTGTAATGATAGGAATGGTAATTAGTTAGATTACTCGTTACTGAAAAGTAACGAGTGTAATTTTGGGCAACGATAGAAAAATGAAATATCGCGATATTTCGAAATATCGCGACAGAATATGGGTAAAATATCGCGACAGAATATGGGTAAAATATCGCGACAGAATATGGGTAAAATATCGCGACAGAATATGGGTAAAACGCGCATGCGCAGTGCCTATGTTTACATACGCACATGGCGGCGACGCAGAATGAGAAAAGCGAAAGTGGATCGTTGAATGAAACGGATGAACCAGAATTGGTTTGTAAAAATGCTGCAACTTCAGTGGTGTGGAACTGGTTTAGCTTTCGTCCGTCAGATACACAACAAAGCACTATTTTTGGTAGAGCATGCTAGCGGGCCGTCGTTATTACCGTGTTGTTTGGAAAATACGGTACACTTAAAATCAATGCTTTGATTTTTCTGAAAATCGACAGTGCCCCTTATAATCCCGTGTGCCTTATGTATGAATTCTGGTTGTGTTTACTGACCTCGAAATGATTTTATGTACACGGCGCTCGAAAATCTGTCAAATGTTTTAGTACGACTTTGCTAAGCTACGAACCCGCACCGCTTGATGGATTGTTGGAGCATTACGGCTATCGTAGTCAGGCGCCTCACTGTGCTTCAACATAATATTACCGTATTGTGTGTGTATAAGCTCTTTTTAAGTTTTGTGGATATTATACATGGTTATGCTGAGGATATGTCGGCCAGTTTCCACTGGAAAGGCCTTTTGGTTAAACTGTCAGCGAGGAATTTGCATTGTTACATTTTTATATAACTTTAATGCACATAAAAAAAAACAAAAAAAAAAACAGCTGCTTGTTTAAGTGAAAATACATTGATGGGTTTTTTTTAAACTAATAAAGTTGTGGAGTTGTAAAGTATTTTATCTAGTGTCAATTATATCGTCAGTTATATCGTTATCGCAAATTTTCAAATGTATATCGTGATAAATATTTTTGGCAATATCGCCCTGCTCTACTCCCAACTAACATTCACATCGCAGTAATTACAGAAAGATGGACAACTTATCTTCCCGTCAGGTAGTGAAGCACCGACTTATCACCACAGACTCATTTTCTAGATTTCAGTGCAGGCAAACGATGGATCTCAGAGGCTGTTTTTTCTTAACTCGAGTCCAGACAGACGGGCCCTACCCTTGACACTGACAAGCAGCTGCAGTTTCACTACATCGCAGAGACAGATGACTCAGAGAGACTCTTCAAACACAAAGACTGGCTCTGTGTGCGCGACAGTGAATAATCAGACAGCCTCTCAGTAGTGTGGCTGATCCAAAGTCTGACAATGACTTGAGCTGCTTTTCTCAATGTGCCGGATTCACACAGTCTGCGTAATCACAAGGACCCTACAGGCAGACTTAAAAGTCAGCATGTGTATGCTACAGTATTTTTGACGTGTTCATGCTGTTGGCAAACCGATATACCTAATCACAGTGAGAAGTCTTTTTTTATATGCTAACAATGGGCAATTTCAGCTTTTTTTGCTAGGTGGTTGCTAGGGATGTATAATTTTATAGACATGAATTGAAAATCACACAACATTTTTAATAGCTGTTATTTGTGTATTAAAAGGCATACACCAGTCTATTATGACTCTTCATAACATCTGATATAGATTAGAGCTTTCAGGGGGCTGAGGTGTACCTGCGCGCCAACACAGGTGATTTAGTTGTTCGAGACTTGATGAAAAAACAAACAAACAAACAAACATCTAGTAAGTTTCTGTATTACAGTAAACCTGCTTCAAAGGTATTTTTGTGTAGACCTGTGACATAATACTTATATGTACTGTATAAATTCTATTTCAAATTATGTAACTCTAGCAGCTAAAGCAAGAAAAATACATTCCCACCTTTCGAATCCACCGACTTTTTAATACAAATGTAAATGTAAATGTAAATATATTTACTGAATTCATGCGAATGATGTTGTGCTGTAAAAACTTTTCAAGTTACAAATTCTCAAAGTTCAAAAAGTAGGTCAAAATTTTGCAATTTAAAATTTGCCACATTTCTTTCCGGCATTTTTGAGTTGTCATAACTTTATAAGTGCAAGAAGGAGCCACAAGAAACTTCCAGGCAGAAACAAATTTGACATTACCTGTAAAAATTTATTCAAGTTACATATTTTAACATTTTCTTAGCTGAATTATCAGGGGAAAAAGCTCAAACATGGAGTGTCTGTTATGTTAAATTGGTCATGCAGTTTTACTATTGGTCCTATGATATATCAAAAACAAAAACATTATTCTGAAAATAAAACAAACTTTTGGATTTATGTCTTTAGGTTCTGGCCCCTGGAGAGGGTGTGTGTGTGTGTGTGTGTGTGTGTGTGTGGTACAATGTTATGCAACTACCTCCTGTATGAGAGAATTCATGACTCAAAAATGTCTGAAAAATTAACGGGAATTTAAACACACCCACACGTCCTTTGAGGGCATTGAACAAAAAACAATGATAGTAGAGTAGCGCAATTATTGTGTAAGTCAGAACTTTATCTTATAGTATTTCATTATAGGAGGTGGCTTGATCTGAAGTGTGTGTCAACCAGCAGGGGCACAACTGAGTGATCATTAAAAAAATATTATATTAAAGAATTAAAAATGTATTTTAGAAGACATTACAGAAACTGATTCTTACACACAACTGACTAGACTATGATTGGGATAAACAACCTCCCTGCCCGTGCACACTCTCTGATGCTAGGGGACACAGGCAACAAGGTGGATGTATTGGGTGGGCATGGATCCACCCTCATCCAATCCCCACAAATCACTGACTGCTGTTTTATTTGATCAGGACAAATTAAACGCAATGGCTCTTTTACGTCAATATTTCAGTCTATTTATACAAAAGGGACTCTGAGGGGACAAATGTTGAGCTGCAAAGGTCAAATAAAAGCAAAATAAGATCAAACAACAGTGATTTATGAAAATATATAAAGTTAAACAAAGATTTGACTCTGAAAAACTTGACTTATCAGTTAGCTCAAATCACAGCAATTGCTCAGATTTCCTAGTATTGATAATTTAGTGCTTGTCACACACTCTGCTCTACAACACAGACCTGCTAAAATCCCAGCTGTCCATCTCCAGCTTTGGAGAAGACCAGGAAGCCTGATTTACAAAGGTGGCGACGCCCATTTTCATTAACGATCAACTCAGTTGTCTTTTAATTAACGGTCAACTTCATGTCACCCTTTGTGTCCCCCGTTAGTGCCCACTTCTTTGCTGCAGTGATTTAATGAGTTATTCGGTTAAATTTAACATTACTGGGTACATAAAGTGCTCATATCTGTTCAGCTGCTATCACTCAACTGCTTTTAGCTAAACAAAGAAAGTCGCCCTGCTGTTAGCAAAAACTCCAGTTAGCTGGTTAGCGCGTGTAGTTACCCAACATTAGTTAATTCAGAGTTTGCACCGAAACGGTTTGGTGCTAAAGTCGGGTGAGAAGCTGAACAATAGAGTGCGGTTAAATGTGGAGAGCCACAGCCCTCAAACTTACCACAACAGCAGTCACCGGCTGACCTGGGACGAAAGACATACTCTCGCTGAGATTTTTGGCTTATATAGAGAAGAAACTTTCCGCTTCTGCTGTTTTAAAAACTAAAGACAAGTCGATTCAGATAGCGGGACTACTTCCTAGATCCTTACATGAAACAGCGCAGGAAGATCCCGAGCTGGAATCCAAAGGCTTTAGGGATGATGTCACGTCGCCCCCAGGCGTTCGGGTTCGCGTGTTTTGTCTCACCTTTGTAGCCAGGGAGGGCGGTGCTTAAATGCTGGCAGTCGTCCCGTTGTGACTCTGAACAGAAATGAAAACAAATCGAACTCATTACGGGGTTTTTGCTCCTCCTTTGCTCAGGCGAACACCGACAGCTGTTTTCCTTATATCGAGTTGGCTAACAGCGACATCTCGGTCGATTCTGTTTTCTTGATCGCACTTAGTCGACAGGATATTCGAAAATTAATTATACTTTGATCATGGATTTTGTACGACTTTACTTTACTTTTCACTTTATTTTTGCGCTCAATCACATAGATGACCATTTCCTCTAGAAAACAATATAACAAAAAATATTTAGAAAACCCCCCAACGATTTTTATAAATATTTATGAGTGTTATATAGATGTTGATATTTGAGATTTATTGCTTTTGTTAAGCTGATTTTTTTTCTCTTACACAAGCTCATAATAATCATATAATAGCTACAGCACTCATACAGTAGCTGGTGAGTATATAGGGGAGACCGGGGATAGTTGTAACATTTTTGACATTTCTGTCTGTAAATTGGAGCTCTTTTAAGGTAGTGGATTCAAAATGTAATGCAAAGTATTTACACCTCTCGGCTATTAAATAGTGCAGCTATTTTCTCTGCAGCACAATTACCCATTGCATGGTATGGCCTCAAATGTTACAATTAACCCCATAGTCTGGGTTAGTTGTAACATATCCTGGGGTGAAATGTAGCACAATGAAATAAGGGTACTAACAAAACATTAACATGTAATCTTTGTTTATTCAACACATGAATGCACTTAGAGCCATTTATGTAGCTCTCTGTGTGTGTGTGACAGAATGCAGAAATCTAGCTTTTGAACATATTCCAACCCCCCAAAAAGACAAATTATGGAATTTTCTGCAACTGAATATTTCATTAATTTTGGTTGGTCTTCCTTGAGTTTGGCCTCATTGGCTCAGTGGGCATTATAACCTACAACTCTTGCACCAATTTTAAACATAACAATGAAGCTGAAAAAATGTAGTTGTGCACCAGCATCGCAATTCCATTACTTTTTATCATGGCTTACCTTGGTGTGGTTTGCAAAGTGCTTCAGAAAGATGAGGAAATCTGTTTCTTGCACCCATCCTGACTTATTTCCACTACCAGTACTTCCTACTGGTCCATCTCTGACACAGTGGTCTGCATAATGTAACACAAACAGTGGAGGAATTGTGTTGCCAATGGCATTAACCGCATATACAAAAGCGACCAGTGAACCTCTCTCTGCTGATGTCATTGCCCCAACTTGTTTAATATAAGTTAAAGTAATAGTGTGGTAAGTTGTAACATCTGCATTATTGTTACAACTAACCCAGACTGTTGCTGTTACAACTGACCCAGACTCCTATAGCCATGAACTAGCTAACATTACAGCCAACGGCTAAAACATTAGCACTAAAGACCTACACAGAATATATCCCCATAGACATACAAATAACATAATTTAAGTTTGAGGACTTTAACTGCAAAGCAGATAATGCTATTATAAATTGAAATAAAGTAGAAAAACTTACTTTTTGGCATACAAATTACTTTTTTTCATGTTAAATTGTCTGTGTTTGACAAAATGTGCTGATTTTTCACATGTGATAGCAGAACTGAATTGGGCATGCACAGGATGAGTCACATCATTTGAAACTTAGCCCTGATTGGAGAAATTGGAAGTGTTACAACTGACCCATGTTACAACTATCCCCAGTCTCCCCTACGTGTTTAAAATAGTCTCAGCTATTAGTAAATGTTTCCTTCTGATTTAAAGTAATAAAGTAAAACACGAAAATAGTAACCATTTAAAGCCAGACACGTTGACGCTGTTGTACTACTCATTGTGCAAGCATCCTGTGTGTTTTGCTGCCACTAGATGGTAGTCCGTAATGATACAAGACTTTTCTGTCAGTACAGTGTGGAGGGATGAATAAAGCATGAATCTCCCAAAGTTGATTCTGTTCATCTGGACGTAGCATTTTGTGGGAGAAACGTTTCGTCACTCATCCAGGTGACTTCTTCAGTCTCAGCTGACTGCAGGTTTCCCCAATCTTATAAACAGTACATTTGCATAATGACTGAAACCAGCCCACTGAAGGAACAATGAGCTGGGAGGTCAGTTTCTTAATCTTAATTATGCAAATTCTCATGACCATTGAGCAACAATCACTGACCAAAACCCACGGATTGAGCATGCATCAAGAAATAAAGAATGAACATTAGAAGTGCTTTTTTCTAGCTCTGTATTCTTTTAGCTATCTAGCTATAATTTTATTTGCCATAAAATCAAAATAATGTTTTTAAGAGCGCACTGCTGTATGTTTCCACCTGTAAAAAATGTACCAGTTTGGGTGTTCTCTCTCTCTTTCATCATCTCTATCACACTTCTGATCAGAGATCTGCATGTGATGCAGCAGCATGCCACCTTTACTCAAAGCAGCTGTTATTTCTTATTTGCATATGGTACGCAAAAATTCCCCTGAGCATGTTTAGACTTTAATATCCTACCAAATAAGTGTATGGAAAACTTTAACCTCAATTTGAAAGCATGTATACAAAGATGGCAGGAGATTGGCTTCAGGTAGACATCTATGTAACAAATTTATTGCATTATTCATTTTAATGTGACACCTTTTGTCTGAATAGAGTTTTGATGTATGGAACATTTTAAAAAAATAATAATATATAATTTGGCACTAAATACATTTGCATGAAGGAGGCAGTTTAATCTATCCTATAATTTTATGCACAATAAATATTCCTTGCGACCTAAATGTTAAAGGAATAGGAATATTATGAGGCTGTGGCAGCTGTTGGCTTAGCTTAGCTTAGCATAAAGACAGAAAACAGGATGAGGCATCTATCCCGCCTCTGTTATCTTATACAACAGGGAAAAAAAGAAAACACACAGAACGATTTAATTAGTAAACTTTAAAGAAACCGATAGGCACATTTTGTGTCTAGTCTAGCTGTTTCACTGTGTTTCAGTGTCTGCATTAGCCAGTTGTAGACACATCCTAAGAATGAAAGACTGGTGCAATGCTTTGACATTAAGCCTCTCTTTAGGTGAACAAAGGTCATAAAGATAAAGGATCATAAAGGTTGGACGAATGCAGTATTTTTCCAGCATGGAGCCTACCACTTCCTCTCCTTTGCCCAGATGAGGATACATGTACACCATAGGTGTCAAACTCTGGCCCGCGGGCCAAATTTGGCCCGCAGCCTAATTACATTTGGCCCGCAAAGCCATACCAAATTACTATTAGAGCTGGCCTACTGGTATTATACAGCTAATATATATATTGTTTAGTATTAAGCTTTGCTTGTTCCACATCCAGTTTTTCAGCAAAACGTGTTTGAGTCCATAAGAAAAGATTCATTCTTATATCTGGAGGAATAAATATATTTCAATAAATATTAACGTTAGCCCGCGACTTTGTTCCAGTTTTGAATTTTGGCCCACTGTGTATTTGAGTTTGACACCCCTGATGTACACATTAACCTCTTCCTTGACTTGACACACTTGTTTATTATAGTTTCAGGTGATCACTGTGACCTGTCCATATTCACTACATTTTATGCACTCTATTTTCTCATGTGGGTCCGTAGCCTGGAGCAAAAGGTGGAGGTGGCATATATTCTAAGGGTAACATGTCATCAGTCAGCTTCACAGGAGTGCAGCTGGAGGAAAGTGGTGGATCACAAAAGGTCAGATCCCTCGTGATCTCCTGGTACTCGTGCTCATCATTTTCACCCCTGTCAGTGTTAATCTCTTCGTATGAATTATCCTGCAACGGGCCCCTCTTCTTTTGGAATTTCTTCTTGAAGTTCTTTAGGTTGGTGACGACGGACGGCTTTACTTCTTGATTCCTCACTTGCTGGTTGTTGGTAGTGGGCGGTTGTTCGGAGCCTGCAAACGTGGGCAGATTCTCAGGAGCAGAGACTGTTCTGACAGCCTGATTCTGCTTCAGAGCCATGCAGTCTCGAGAAGGGACTTCGGGAGGCTGGTTGGATGGAGGATTATCACCTGTATATTTCTTCCTGGGTGTTGGGACAGGCTGCAGATGAACATAAAGACAAACTTAAGTTATTTTTTTTTTTATTTTTAGATCTCTTTACTTCTTATTTTGAAAGTTAATGAAAACCTCATCTCAAATGTGCATCACCACAAATCCATCAACACGCAGGGTTACATTTACTTCTAATTTGTCAAAAATCTAGACTTCTCAGTCACTCACAGCAAGTAGCTCATTGATAACATGTTTTCAGGACCTGTCTTCAGTTTTGAGAAAATATTCATGCTACTATTTCAGTTTAAATCAAACCTGATCATCATAAGCAAATATCCTTTTACATGAAGATTTAGAGCCATACTTATTCTTTAGATTTGTATAAAAGGATGCTAACTGCAAAGAAAAGCTTTTTAGATGAAAATCTTTTAACCTTAACTTTATCAGACAATGTATGGAGATCTTTAGCTTGAACAACAGTTTTCAAGGCCATTTTTACCAGTGCTGGTGGTGGAGAGGTATTGTGTTGAAACTCATCTTCCAAAGAAGGGTAGAGTCTATTTGTTTGGCTTTTTGGAGGCAAAATTGGTGAGTTTCCCAAATAATTTGGGCGGTGAGGAAGGGCAGGTGGGATATCCTCTCTTGACCCTGGTGGATTTATGCTGGGAACCTGGAAGTTGTTTGGTGGCAAACTGGCCCTAGAGTCTGGACCTCTTGAGCAAAACAGTAGTTCTGCATAGTCAGTCTTGTCATTAGAAGCCTGAAAAGATGTAGAAAAGTTACAGCACAGATGTTTTATTGTAGTTTACACAATTAATCTTACTTAGCTTAGCTTGATTAGCTTATGCTGAGCTTATATAATGTACTAAAAAGTAAACCTGTAGTTTACAATAACATTAAAAAAAAGCATGAATGCAGTTGAGACAAGCACATTTTCTCACCTGTCCACAAGGAACAGTCAGCACTTGAGTGAAAGGCATGATGGGAGTTCTACGATGAAAGTCCACCAGGTCATGCAGAAACCGGTGATACCTGTTTTCCCCCACTATGATGTAAGAGCCATGTTCCAGTGCATCAATCATAAAGTGTCTGCAGCGGTCCTCGGCACTGATTGGTCAGTACATTAGAGTGAACAGAGTGGAGTGTCAGGGTCACTGAGTGTGTGAGCACATTACTTTAAAAATAAGGTTTCCGTCATGCTGAAAATACTCACCGATACGAGAGAGTGTAGCCGATCCTGCTCTCACTGACTCTGATGAGGAAGTAACCCGGCGGCTTAGCCATTAGCAGTTCCTCTGCTGTCCTACACAAAGGACCACAAACAAAGGCCTCTTTCATGCATGCACTTCAATCTTTACATTTTATGGTTTGGGGTTATTTATAAACCGTAGCTGTCACTAAAATGTGGGCATATTCTACAAATAGTTTTTGCATATCATATGACATCATATGACATAGTGAAAGAGTTCATACCTACAGCCAATTTAGAATCACCAGCTAGTCTAACATGCATGTCTTTGAACTGCTGAAGGAAGCCAGAGTACCCGGACAGAACCAGCACAGTCAAAGGAAGAACATGCAGACCAGCTGGTGGAGTCAAACCTGTGACTGTCTTCCTGTGCAACAGTGCTAACTGCTCTGTCACCATAATTAAAGATACTAAACTATCAAAAGTATACCAGTCCTTTTTCCAGCTATATTTAATAACTGATCTACAGCTTTAAAACATGGTAATTGTGCAATACATCCCATATAATCATCTCTCATAGTGCAATTGTACAGCACAGGTTTGGTCTCATATTAAATGAAGTAAGCTACTTTCAGCTGTTCCCTTATTCACAAGACGTCAGGACGTCAGGTATCTTTGTTTAACGCTGTATCCCTAAAGGGATTTGAGTCTCCTTCCAGTATGGAACCATCTTTCACATGCTAGCTGAGTGCATCAACCATTACTCTATGGAATTACTGTGTAGTGACCAAAGTAAACCGGCAGAGTGAAAGATTAGTTTCAGTCTCACCGCCTAAAAATAGAGTAAAAAAAACCTATAGGAAAAGTAAATGCAAATCTCTGCTGACACATATTTGTGCCTAGATGTTTAAAGGCTATTAGATGGGCGGTTGAGAGAAAAAGAGTCTAACCCTGTGCTTTCCCAGAAATATCGGAATACCGTGGCATGTGAACGATTTAACAGTTTAATAAACATTAATAAAGAAATGTAGCATTTACAAAATGTTCAGTCAGTTAGACAATCACATCAGGTCATGAAAACTGATATCTTTCAGTCTTAGCTCCTCATATTTTGGACTGTTTGCCTTCCACTGGAGTAGATGGAAGGTAATGATATAGGTATGATATGATATGAGGTGAAGACGTGCGGCCTTCATCAGGGTCATTACAAAATACCAAACAGTGTGTGTTTAAATAAAACAGTATACTGCAGAAAAAAAGTCAAATGAACCAATCACACATTCACTCATATATGTAAAAAAAAAACATCAGTATTAGAAAATCTAATTAAAAACATAAAAACAAAATAGATTCTTATTCATACCTGCATGAAATAAACTCTTTAAACAAAATATCCAGAATGCTTCTGTCTTTTCCCTGATAAAGTTCATATTACCGACTCTTTAATGGTTTCAATGCCTATAAAAAAATAAAGGCAAGCTGCAATGTTTTTCATAAAATGTTTTGCAACAGGACTGGTTAAATTATTCCTCTTTGTACAACTTAAATGTTCATTAATTTTCTCTTTCAGGGATGTTTCTCCTATAGATGTTGCATTACATAGGCACTGTGTCATATAGACCACATTTTTAGTTTTGCAAGTGATGAAGCCTTTAACATTGATGATGTTGCCACTAATGGTTTTACATTTTTATTGTACTAGCAATTTATGCAAGACCCACATTTAGAATGACCTTGTAGTTTATGAGTTATCAGGGTTGTTTCTGGGGTTGAAGGGTCCTGGAAACCTAATGTTCTTCCCTCTTTTATAATGATAATGCGAGCACAATTATATATCTCATAAACTTACTTTCTGGAAATGATCCCATGAAACCACTCCGGGACTACACCGTTCCTGATGACAGACTGGAGCTGAGACTCTGTGAACCAGGTGTAAGGATCACGTTGTCCCTGAAACGTCTGACTTCCCTCCATCCTCCTGCGTAATGGTTCATTTAATCGACAGTTATGGCTAATGGAAAAGTCACTGAGCACAAAGACCTGCAAATGAAGAAGTTAGTATATTTAGTCTGTACATTAACTACGCACCTACAGTACAGACCACATACAGGTATGAAAGCTGGGTGTTAATATGCATTTTAAATATTCATTGTTCCTGTTGCAGGTGAAGTGCTCTGTGATGTCTATCAACAGTTCCTCAGGTGAATTATTATTAGTTCCCGTGCATTTTAACAATCTCAAACATAATGCAGTTTTCCTTTAAAATGGCAAAGAGCTAAAGGATGGAGTCTACTCACTAATACCTTTGTTTACAGCAGTACCTGTTGTAAGACTTTATCAATTATATTTGTGAATTCATCTTAAATTTGCAATATGAACACATAATTCATTACAGAATACTGATTTTGTGAATAAAACTCAATAATGTTGCTTCTGGCGTCAAATACAAACTCATAGGAAAAGTTACTCACCCTGTCTGGCAGCTCCGAGATAGAATGACACGGCTGAGCTCGCGCACCTGAAAAAACCTGTCTGGGGGCGGGGGCGGGGCCAAAACCCTACTCGATCCAAGTAGAATACAGTAAATTTTTAAGTACAGTAGAAAAGTTTTTTTAAGAGACACATAGAAAACACTGAATAACATCACTAAATAAGAAATTAAATTATTCAGATACTCCACATACGTTAAGGCTGAAGTTGCATGTCTTGATTGTATCTGTGGCTGTATGCACACAAGCACACATGCGCAAAGCTGTGGAGAAAATGACCTTCAAGTGATTGTTCTGACTTAACAGATTGGAGATAAAACACAAGTGAAAGGAGAGGCGACAGTCTGAGTGATTTTAAGCAACAACAACAAAAAACCCTCAAAAGACTTTATCAGTACTTTCCAGCTCTCCCACGTTACTCCAGGGCCAGATTTTTACAGAGTGCCGAAAAACAATTTACATCTGGGAAACTTCCTAGACGTCACTGACGACATGCAGTACGTTCGCATCCCACAGCATTTTATGTAACTTATCATTAGTAAAAACACATTTTTTTTATATGCAGTGCATGATATACAGGTGAGCATCTTTTAAAGAAAAATAGATCCTGCTTTCAGGCATAATAGGTGACTTATTGACTGATTTATGATTCAATAAAAAAAAAATTCCTGTAATATCGACATCCGCTTCAGAGAAAATCCACCGCCCACCTGACGATTGTTAAAAAGAAAAAAGTCAGAACAAAGGTCAAAGTCTTTCTGGTGTGAAGCAGAAGTGTTGCGCTCCAGTGCAAATCTTTCTGCAGGGCTCTTCTCCATTTATACACAAAGTGCCCCCACCTACGCACTCCACCTCCTCCACAATTTTATGAAAAATACGTTTTGGTTTTTTTTGGGGTTTTTTTTCAAACCTTGGTGAAGAAAGTTATCAGGGAACCACTAATGCTCATATGTCTTCTCCTCAAGCAAACAGGCCCCTATTGTACACCTTAAAGCTTCCTTAAACTGCCAACTACTGATAGAGAAGAAAATAAACCAGTGCCACATCAGAGAGGAGAACGGGGCAGGGAGAAGTAGCCTCAGTCTAATCATGGTTCCATCAGCTGACTAAAGTGAAAGCTGCAGCTCAGACTGCGGGCATATTCTTTCCCTGTTTGTAAGGCTGAGGAGGAAGTGCACGAGTACAATACGCTTGCTTACAGAGGGTGTGGAATAGATGGCATGCTGACTCCAGAAATCTCCCCATTTGTACAGAAATAATCAAGTCTCTCAAGATCCCCGTGATAATATGAGGCGATAGACTGCTCTGCAGTTTTTCTGCCACTTTGATGCCGTAAGCTACACATTTGCATATTACCATGTGGTAGAGTGGCAGATTCATTTGCAACGCAAAACTCTACATCACGGATGGGAAAACATCAATAAATAGATTTCAGAGAAACTGGATTATAGGAACCAAAATTTTCAATTTGTACTGGTGTCATGGTGCAACCAGTTAACCAATTGATGATATATGATGACATATACAGTGTATATATATTAATTCTGTTTATGGGACTGTGCTCTGGATCTGTTGGAGCCACTTACCCAGTTTGGGGTCAATGCTGAGGTATTTACTTCAGTGTACTCATGGATGTTTGCTGTTTCATCCTGGATGGTGGTTCTGATACTCACTAGTCCTCGGCCGTCCTTCTTAGCAGACAGTCTCAGGGTGCTGGAATTCCATCTCATCCTTTAGCCAGCTGATTATCCGAGTCAGGCATCTGACTGCTCAGGACTTGCTTACTTTCTGCAGGTGTTTGGTGGTTGCGGCTTTCCTAGCAGCCTCTTCGTGATTCCCAGGTACTTGTAGCTGTCCTCGGTGTCGTCGTCTGGTAGTGCAGTCCTCTCAGTTCTAACCATCTTCCCTCTCTTTATTACACTTTTCCAGCCTGAATGACATTGCAATATGTCTCACTTACTCCTGGCATACAGCTTGATGTAGAGGATAACAATTGTGCCATCCTGTAGTCGGTATCCGTAGCAAGTCATGTTAATGATCTAGCCTGGGCGCTTCAGGCCTATGCAGAACAGCAGTGGGGACAGCATCTGTCAGTTTGAACAGGTCATCTTGACCTTGACTACATGCCTAAATGCACTGAGGTGCTGCCATGTGATTGGTTAGATGCATCAACAACCAGCTGAACAGGTGTACCTACACAATTAAAGAAAAACATCAAGAGTACTTGTCCTGCAAATGTTTTGTGTTTTTGCACAGAAAAACATACTGGACACATTTAAGAATCTCATTTTTAATAAATCATCAAAAGTACACATATCTACAAAAAGTGTAGATCAATAAGATTTATGAAACTACAGTACAATCATTGTAGATCTTATTTACAATTGCTGAATTATTTACTTTATTCCACATGAAGCCCATCAGTAATCAGCAAAGAAAGCCAATTGTAGTTCAGGAATGCTTAAGATATGTGAACACAGAACTGTCACATTTGCAAAAGGGAGAGAATTACAGAATAAAGCAACGGCAGACTGTAGCTCACAATGCTGGATTTTCATCAAGCTGTGAACTGATTTTAACTGAGAGTGATTTTAAGAAACAGCCGAAACAAATTTAAACCAGCAAAGCCGACATTTCCTTAAATCCACAGGAAAACCGTTTTGTTACAGGTTTGATTGGATGACTCTTCAGCACCACTTCAAAGGACCAGCTTATCTGGCCTTTGACGTGATTTGCTCAATTTCCTATTTTTTGTCCTCTGATGAGCTCTCGATGTAATTGCATGGAGTGACAGCAGAAAATAATAAAACAAGATCAAGGATCCTCTGCACAATTCTAATCTCAAATAAAGCTCATTAAGTCAACTGTGCAAAGCCTTTTGAGGTTTCCTACGCACCAAGAATGCATAGATTAGATGGTCATAATACTGGACCAAAACAACACAGGAGGAGAGGTGGAAGAAGGTGGTTTCCAAAAGCATCAGAATCTACGCAAATGCATAAACAACAAAAGAAAAAGTTCAATCACTGAGTGGGAATGTTGTGAAAACAAAAAGAAAATCTCTAGATTTCTGGTTTCAGTGCTCAGATGTTTTAAAGAAGCCCAGAGAGGCTCTGTGGAAATCTTGTGCATGCAAATTCTTTGCTTTCAGTTAAGACTTGCAATAAACACAGACAATAAATGTTAAGAAATCTTTTTTTTCCCAAAACAGAAAGAAAAAGGAAGAAAAGTGCATAATCAAGAAGAACATAAAAGGGCACTTTGTCATTTTGGTGCTATGATTTCTTTCACTCCATAAATACTGCTACAGCACAGCACATATCCAAGGCCCAGGAAACAGTTGTGTTTATGTTCCCCCATTGGAACAGACAACCGGAACAAGTACAAATGCATAAAACCACACCATTGCTGTGACTCTTTCTGCTGTGTAGCTGAAGTTGCCTCCAGGTGGTCAGTGTAGGTATTGCTAAAACGGTGTGGAAAGCAACATCAAAAAGGAGCATGTGTGTGCCCTTAAATTACCCCCCCTTCTAAAAACCCAACCCTACTGCAGACATGTGAACACAAGAGAAAAATCAGGGCTCTTTCATACATTACATTGCACATTAAAGAGGACTGGAATGTTTTAGCAGAAGACACGAGAAGAAAGGACACGTAAACCCCACTGTGGATATGATGAGTGACATGTGCTGGCATTACTCTGTAATACGGTGAATCATAATCAATTATATATATATATATATATATATTTACACGATGCATTTACATAGATGTGGACATTAAGGAAAGAGCTAGACCACCCTGTCAGGACAAATATCTAGTATAATATCTTGTGTGTGTGTGGGGGGGGGGGATTGTACGCATCACTTTGGAAGCACAGGTGACAATCGAAATATTATAAAAACACATGTGTAATACACGTATTCTTTAAGTATAATCTGGTCTTTTGTTGGTCATAAGGATCAAATACAGCGCTGCCTAAAGGTTTGTGGTGACTGGGGACCGTCCTTAAGGAAAAGGATATTTGTTTTTAATGTAATAGCGCATTAAAATAATGATAAATGGAATTATTCATCAGGAACCATCACTGAGCTTTAATGGAAGATCAAGCATACATACCCTGTTTTCAGCAACCATCGCCTCTGGCTTCGAATGTTGCATCGTGTCACCTAACGCAAGTTTATCATGTAAGAAGCTGAAGAATGCTGTGCTGACTAAAGAAGCAAACAATGCGGCTAGTTCAGCGTCTGGAGAATCAGCCTTTGTGTGTTGGATTAAAGGCTCAAAACGCACCTGAAAAAGTTATATTCTTGATCAAAGAAATGCAACAGCACTTCCTACTCACTTCAAAACTAGTCTAGACAAATACATTCTTTTAAAAAGCTGCCAGATGAGGAACTGTGAGGCGTTTCTGTGTGTTTCTCAGACTTGTCCTATTGTTGTTCAGCTGGGCACTGGGGTCTCCCACTTCTCTTTCTCCTCTGGTTAGTGCTCTTCTGTGCACAGAGTTTTGGCAATGTTGTACATGCAACGTCCTTAATCTCTAAGAAGAAGAATACTTTTTCTTTTTTTTGTATCCAATCCATATGGTATTTAGCTGTGCACAATCAGCTTTTGAACATGATAAACTCAGGAAATGGCTGCTTAAAAAATTTGCCTCTCTAGTTACGTAGATATTAAAACTCTCTCAAATTTGATGAACGAATCCCTTAATTATTATCCGTCACTGCCGAAAGGTTGGATCTTTCTTAGTATTTAAGGACGTGACCGTTAAGAATCTTTCACTCTTGTGCCTACACTGAAAATATTAATTAATGGGGGGTGGGGGAGAAAAAAGAAATGAGATTAAATATGTAACAGAGCCCACAGCAGTTAGATCCACAGGTATTAAAGGAAGACTGGTAAACCAAGGCGGGGGGGGGTAGACTTTTCCTAATTACATAATGACGGGACAAATCAGAAGGAGGAGGAAGACAAATGAAGAAGGATAAAACAGATCAGCGTGTGCTCTGTCCAGTTATGTCCAGTGGGGGGACACGGTTAAGGCGATGGTGGTTGCCGACGCACTCGTCTTCTCACAGCAGCGTGCAGCGGAAGAAACTGCTCTTCTTGGGTTGTTCTGTAATCTTTACTCCTTGATTGCTGCCCTGTGGGTTGTTTCCCTCCTAAAATGCACAAATGTTAAAGCCCATTAATTAGAAAAACATCCAAGACACCAGAAAACACCATTAACACCATACCTACTGAAACTACTGTGGGTAAGCTACTAATAGAGTTTTCACTTCTCTACTTTCTTACCAGCTTCTTGTCCATTTTTGCCTTAATGTCTCTGGCAAGCGTTAAGAAGGCCTGCAGACCAAAAAAAAAAAAACAGAACATATAAGATCATTACACCGCATCGAAGTAATAATTCAGTACAATTATCACTAAGAAATAAATAATAAACAACAAGACGATGTAATCCCAAACAAGTGTTCCAGCAATTATCACAGGGAATCTAAAGTGTTTGGACAATAACTCGTTTTTTTATTTTGTTTGGCTTTTAACTCAGAGTGGTTTCTTATTATTAGAATAATAAAAACATCAAAAATAATCAATGTTTCATTGGATGTGTTGTTTTGGTGCCTTCTATGGCAAACATGTGCTTTTAAAAAGTGCTCTATTAATAATTCATTTTCCTCTTAGGGTGGTTTGTTTGTGCGGTTTTGAACACGGTGATTAGATTCAGGCACAGCTCAGAACAACCACACCGAGACTCTTTGGAGGAGGTCGTTTGACCCAACTACAACGTGTTGGGTCACGTTGTAGGCTGTGGCTACAATGTAGCTGCCATCACCAGTGTTTGAATGTGTGTGTGAATGGGTGGATGACTGAATGTGTAAAGCGCTTTGGGGTCCTTAGGGACTAGTAAAGCGCTATACAAATACAGGCCATTTACCTTCATCCTGTATTTGTTTTCAAGATTGTTTATTGTCCAGATGTGTCTGTGGCACAAACTGATAATTCTTGTGTATTTTATAGTTCCACATGTGGTTTGGTTGGAGTTTTCTCTATGTGAAAAGAAACCGAATACAAAAAAACAAGGAAAAGTTACGAGTTTACAACAAAGTGCATGTGCATGTGAAAACGCCCCAAGACCAGAGGAAACCCAGTGAGGGCAGTTTGGTGTGCTGCACTCAGACTTCCTTGCCTCTGGCTTTAGGACTTTGGGGGAGACAGGGATATTAATCTGAGCAGTAAGAAGATATGTGGAGGGATTACACTTACTACGATTGAAAATTGGGGAAATCCCAGTTGTGTCAAAGCTCAGAAACATTCCTGCGGCCTGAATACTGAATTACTAGCTGCTGGAATGTGACCATATTACTCGATGAAGAAATTCATTTTTGCTATATCTCTTTGTATCCACTTTGAAGGAGCAAAAGGTTTGGATTCTGTGGCTGCGCATGATTAATGGATTCTGACCACACTGCAGCTGGAAACTTTCTCTAATGTGTTTAAAGACACAGAAACTCTTAACCATGTCATGCCATAATAGCCACATTCATTTCAGATAAAATTATCTCCTTCTTTTTTACATTATTAATTGTAGTTATATTCATGATGTATTTTGGTTTTCATGTAATTGAATGTTGTAACTTTGTGTATTATGAATGTAAGCCCAACAAGGGACAATAGTTAGAAATTAGCAATAGCTATAAACTTATGTGCAGTACATCAGTTTCATGCTTTATATTTGGACTATGTTAAACTGCACTGTCCCTTTTAAACAAAGAATAAAAAGAAAGATTTAAGATCATTATTTGATCATATTAAAAGTTTTGATTTATTGGATCTGTAGTACTTTACCTTTCAAAGTTATATTCATAGTTTGAACTGTTATATTCTACCTATATATTTAGTCACGTCGTTTATGCTTCAAAGAAAAACTTAGCTAAGAGTATCAAAGTCATTTCCCAACCTTTGGGATAAATAAATATTATTAATAATAACAATAATAATAATAATTCTTTTTCTTATAATATTTGGTTTTAGGTATGCTTGTAATATTCTGATCGAGCTGCTTGAACCTGCTTCCTGCTAATATATTGAACCAAGTACAATTGTGTCGTTGTCCGGTGTGGATTTCATCTGAACATCTGAACTGTCGCACATGTGCTGTCCCCTAGTTTTACAGAGTAAAAACATAAATTAAGCTGGCCATCTTCCACAACACCACTTTCAACAACTAGCAAGTAATTACTGAAAACTGAACTCACATTCTCCACGTTGATGTTCGCCTTCGCACTGGTCTCCATAAATTTGATACCGTACTCCAGCGCCAGCTAACAGCAGAAGAAAAGAGTCATTAGTGGGACTATTCAGACACTACTTTTATATTGCAGGGACCCCAAAGTAACATTATCACCGACAAATCAATTCCCACCTTCTCTCCTCTTTCTTTGGACACTTGACGCTTGTCATTAACGTCACACTTATTCCCAAGGACCATCCTTTCCACGTCTGCTGATGCATGCTGTGGAAAAGAAACTCGTGGTGAACAGGTAGGAAAGCTACCTCATATATACTAAGAATATACTGGTGTGTTTTCACCTTGTTCAATGCCACCAGCTCACCAGTAAATAAGAACGTTGTTACTAAAGGTAACTGATGTTGATGTTTATCTGCTGTGTATTTTACACTCATTAAATACTGTGTCGGTTATTTATAAGGCTGACGAAGAAGGCCTCTGGATTTTTTTTATTTATTTATTTATTTTTCCACCAAAAAAAAATCTTTACCATGAATGATTAAAACTTTTGCATGAATCTGTATGTTTACATTTAATGTAGTAACATTAAAATAGTTCTGCTATTACGTTATAATTATAATTTTGCTTCTCTGGTACAACAGAGAGAACGAATAACAAATAACAATGCAAAACATGGGCATAAACATCAGCTATTGTCCAAATTGATATTCTAAGCACAAGAAATTCAGATTTGATACCAATCGTTGAGCCCTAACACAAAAATTATAATTACAACTATTCTGTAAAACCCAAATAGATTAAGCTGCTTAAATAAACGTAGCCCTGCAGGAGGATTTGGACTTTTATTTGTTGACAAAATTACAAGGAAAAGGATGTGCAGAAGGCAAAACAAGAGGGTTCCTGCAAAACAGGGCCTAGCACAATAATTGCTTTATCTTAATTATCTGGGTCTAATAATTTTAATCGTAACAGAAACTGAATCAAAACTACAGCGTTACTCTATAGCACTTTGTAGAAGATCAAAATCAATAATTAACCAAAGAGGAACCAATATGAACAGAAAGAACTAGAAAAGTACAAGTAATGCAAGGTTTTTACCTCTTCTATATTCCGTATCCAGTTCTTGATGTTTTCAAAGGACTTCTCATTGGTAATGTCAAACACTAACATGATGCCCTGCAGAGGTCATAGAGCAGAAGACATAAGGCAAGGCAAGGCAAATTTATTTGTATAGCACAATTCAACAACAAGGTGATTCAAAGTGCTTTACAGAGACATTAGAAACAAAAACAAATAAAAAGTATGATTTAAAATTGATTAAAACAAGCAAACAAACAAACTAACTAAACACACACATTTCACACCTGTTCGCGCGATCTGAACCCTTATCGTAAGGGGAGCTACCAGTCCTTCTGTGGACGAGCTACTTTCTATTTTAAAATAAGAAAACACAGTAACCTAAGATCAGTGCTGTCATCGCATACTTCTTAAATCTATCTGATCCACAGAAAGAGAGCTGAGAATCAACTCTAATGAAAATATGCAGCTCATGTAACCACTGTGAGATAACCACTTGTTATTAATTAGTACTATGTCAATAAAACGAAACTGAGATTAAACATCGTCGACCGGTGATGAATCATGTTGTGTTGGAGCAAAGTAAAAGGACTTTGGTCAAAGGTAAGAAGGTCCAATTAGGTTTACAAATACAAGCATACTAACTGTATGCTTGTAGGAGGGACTAGCAAAAACTGCCAAGGTGCTGTAGTGAGCGCACCTGATTTTTCAGGTGTACATGGCATTAACAACAATGTGGGGTGTGGTTCTAGTAGAGGTTTATGCTGCAGTACATACATCATTTCACCTACTCCATTCCCAGAGATTATCTCAGCTAATGTATCATCTGAAAGGCTAACGATGCAACTTACCATGGCTCCTCTGTAGTAGGCTGTTGTGATAGTCCTGAACCTCTCCTGTCCTGCTGTATCCCTACACAGAAGACACATCTGTTAACTGTCCTCACAGAACACATTAAAGGTATAACAGCTTTTTTAGAGATTATTTTTAAAAGCATACAAAATAGGGAGCAGGACCAAGTTTCCGAGTGTTCCATACAAGTGTTGGTGACTTTCCTCGCTTGACACAATCCTATTCTGGTCAGTTACAGTAGTAGATACTGTCCAGCAGTTATACAATAACTTGTTCAGCTAACACCAACAATGTGAGGTCATTATCGTTTGTGACGCTAGGTACCCAAGCCAAGGCTGTGTGGTATTTTACTTTTGAATTTATCTCAAGTCTTAGGAATAGGGACAAAGAAAATAATTCTAAGAATATCAAGTACTTTTTCTCTTTCTCTAAAATATACAGGATTAGATTTAGGGTAAGACTTAACATTAACCCCAAGAAGGGTTAGACCAATGGTGGCCAGACCAAATGTGGGGAGTACAAAGAGTCTGTTTGTTTGGGAACTTTCCATCTGTAAGTTAATAAATACACACAGAAAATACAGGTATGGCAGTGATCATGTAGATAAGTAAATACAAGTAAATACCTGTTTTTAACGATAACATTGTTATGAAACATTCTTTCTGATTTAAATAATTTAAATAATAAATTTCTAATTTAAATTAGTTTGTGTTGCTGTTAAATTGCATTGCATCATACTGAAATGCTTCTTCATCAGAAATGCTTCTCATTTTAGAACAATTATTCTAAACAGTAAAGAGTGCAGGCATGCTGAATTATGCTGCTGACTTTCAGTTTGAAGGCAGCTTAATATCACTGTCATCCATCACCAAACCCTGTCAGATGAAGACAATTTATGGACTTGTCTATCTTACCATATCTGTAGCTTGATCTTCTTTCCATCTAATTCTATTGTTCTGATTTTGAAGTCAATACCTGAAGAAAATAAAAGTCACATCAATTGTCTTTTAGAAGCACCACAAACTTTGCCTGACCACCCCACAGACAGTAACAATATCTGTTTTTAATGCACGAGATAATTCACACTTTTGTAACGTTGGCAGCATGAGTGCGAAGTACAGGGCAGTCTGTCATAAGGGAAATGACAGTGCCAACTATCACTGTTAGCTTTGAAGCATGCTAGCTCAGTTTACCCCTGTTAAAGTATTTATTACGATAAAAATGTCAGGTGGGGTGCACTCTCATGGAAATCACATATATTTGAGGTTGCCAAATATTCAGGCCGGTTACAACGTCTGTGAGGTTTCTGGAAAGCCCCTCTAACTAGCCGGTTGAAAGCTTCCTGACTAGCCTGTAGTACAATATGAATGCTAGCCAGAAAAGTTAGCAGAATTAGCCTGTCGGGATGGGCTACTCCTATGTCTCTTTTCGTCCAAAACCACACCGATAATTCGGCTTTTACCCACCTATCGTGGAGATAAACGTTGAGTTGAAGGCATCTTCTGAAAATCTGAAAAGCACGCAGGTCTTCCCAACGCCGGAATCGCCGATTAAAAGTAGTTTAAACAAGTAATCGTAAGTCTTCGCCATGTTATTAGTTAGCTTACTACTGCGGATATCCCGCCCGTCGCGTACAGGGAGGCGTCACTTCCTGCGAGTTTCTTTTGGACAAATCAAACGTCACTCCCCACTGTCGTCGTGGCTGCTCTCCCGAGGGGGTTTGCTCGTTTTGATGCCTGTGTCCACCCGGGAGAGTGTTGTTAATTAATCGCTTAACTAACCACTGCTCGTAAGAACACAATACTAAGCCGCTGGTTATGTGCAGTCCAAAGGAAACTGGAAACTGCACACAATTGTTTAACCCTGAGAGTTTCTAAGAGTTTTCTACTGTAGCTTTTAATTTATTGTTGCTTCTTATCTTTTTTTATTTATTTTTTTTTACAACAGGTGTTTTTAAGACCTGTTTAGATTTTGTTTTAAAAAATAAATAACTAAAAGGCTAAATTAAAGCAGACCTTTTCCAGTACACTTTCCATTCTCTTACAGCTGTGCAGTTTGTCTGTTAAACACGTATTGTGCATTCAGCACGGACCTACTTAGGCCCCTCCCTTACACGAAGACTCCGCCTACTCGATTCTTATAACTCAGACCTACACCAAACTACAGGTGGATTTAGTGACGAGCATAGCGGGCTTAGTTTGCTATATCATTTATTTACATTTGACGAGAAAACCGGACGATCTGAGCAAAAATGTCTGTAAGTGAAAATCTTATTATAATTTTTAGATTTGACTGTTTTTGTTAGAAATATTAGAAAGTAGAACAGTTCTGACTGACAGAAAGATGCTTTAATAGTATTTTGTGAACTAAGAAATACAACATTGTACTGAATTTTAAAAAGAGTAGCAATAAAGTGAGTAATATTTTTTTTAACTCTTGTAATATTGAACTTGTAGCAACATGTTATATACTGTTATCTGCCCATTGTTCTTGTACTGTACGAATGATGCTTGGGCTTGTCTGGACATGTTGCTCCTCTAACTAGCAATTCATTCTTCAGACTGTAGGGGGCATACGGCTATAAAACATATTGCGGTACATCTCTTAAGACAATCCTGTCTTCTTCTTTCACCTCAGCGGATCATCTGTCTTCATCTCACCCTATCCCCATCATCTTCCACTGTCACCTTTGTCCAGTATATCCAATATTCTTCTCTAATTTCCAAACCAGTTAACCTGAGCTGCACAAATTTCTGTCAGCTATGCCTCCTGTCGTTTTGTTAGTGCTGTCTCCAAACCATACATCACAGCAGTTTTACCATGATCTTGTAAATAATCATTTTCATATTCTTATCCCTCCATTAACCCCATCCTGTCAGTAGCAGAACAATTGAATAGTTCATGTTTTAAAAAAAAAAAAAAAAAAATGCTCTTCCTTTTCTTGCAGCTGGCTAAGGATCTGATGCACCAAAGTTTTGCGGAGGAGAGGAGGCAGCATAAGAAGAAGAGGCTGGTGCAGAATCCAAACTCTTACTTCATGGATGTTAAATGCATGGGTAGGAATTTTGGCTCATGGTGCAAAGTTTTAGGATTTATTTTTAGTTATGTGTGGCAAGCTCTAATTGATCTGCAAATGCTCATCAGGGTGTTACAGGATCACCACCATCTTCAGCCATGCCCAGACAGTGGTGCCCTGTGCAGGCTGCTCTATAATCCTTTGTAGGCCACGAGGGGGGAAATGCAGACTGACAGCAGGTAAGTACAATGCCAAAAACAGTAGCTTTGAATAAGATTCTCCTAATTTGCTTGCAAGACCTTGCTGAAATGTTTGACATTTCTCCCTCTAGGCTGCGCCTTCAGAAAGAAACAGACATGAACAGTAACGAACCTGGAACCATGCAGCAGAAATGCCCAAGGATAATCGAGGCTGAGCGATGCCATGTTGCAAATCCTCAGCAAATAGAGAAATTGCCTCTATTTATCTAAATGAGTACGATTTTACCCCCGTGTGGGGCTGAATGAGACAGAATCATCTGAATGCATGTACACTCCAAAGCAGATTGACATAATGAAGCACTTTGCTGTAAAGACATTGTCATTACTTCTTCTGCATGAGTAAAATGCAACAATCAAATTTGCAAAAAACTTCAGACAAGTCATGACTTCTGTAAAACATTTTAATAGGTTGACATGGGTGGGGTGGGGGTGGGTGAATGAAGTATTTCATAACAGTCTCAACCAAATGTGAGGCACTCTCAGTGGCTCTGACATGAGATGAAACCACGATGACCATCACAAAAAAAAAATAAAAACATTTCATGAATTGTCTGTGTTGTGTGTGTTCTTTGGTTTTGAGAGTTCCTCTGGCAAAAAGGAGTGGTGTAAATGAAACAAAACCCAAGGAAAAAAAAAATACAACTTCTCACATTACCTAACATTATTCTACTATATACAATAAGTTTCCATGGTTGATAAAACTTGACTGAGCTTCCAGTGGTTTGGGGTTTAGCTCACTCATATTGTAAATACTGGCTACACAATGGCATATTGTTGGTAATGATGCATTAGGTATCAGTGGTCAGGTCAAGCATTTAAGTGTTCAGAACGTCAGCATCAGGTTCAACACCTTGGCCAAAGAGGCATTACGTTATAATTAAATGTAAAGAAGTCTTAATCACTGAGCCTTGTTATCAGGTCATCTGTTCACGTGACTGTTGTGCTGTTCTAACACAAAAAGAGACTGAGACGAGCACAGATCTGTCAAATATCTGTTACTTTGCAGCCACTGGAGATAAAATGGAATAATAATAAGAAAAAAAAATGTTGACTAACTTCAAATTACCACTAGGTGGCGCTTAAAAGCCACACAAGACTGAGCAAACCCCTATGCCATATGTAGCCTATGTATTAAAAATAATCAGAAGTGTAATGTATGTGTACATAATGTGTAAAATTAAGTCTGTTTAAGTGGTTGAGTGACCAAATCTGAGGTTTCTTTGGACAAATTTAGTGCCAGTTCTTTGTAAGTGGTCAAAAACGAATTTCTACAAGAACATCTGTAGGTTTAAGAAAAATAAAGTAGCAGTGGATTCAAAAAATCTTTATAAAAAAAAAAAAAAAATTTGTGCTTGAAAAAAAAAAAGAAAAAAAAAAAAAAGGGGACAAGCATTAAGTTAATCCCCCTTTAGGTGGGGAATAAAGATTTTACAGCTCGAAAGGCGGAATGGAGTCGAACGTTTAATGGAATGTTAATGACGACCTCATCCTCTCCAGCTTCCTCTGTGTGTGTTTATAAGCTGTTCAGCTCCTGCAGGGTCTGGTCCAGGACTTGGTGCATGCCCAGATTCTCCTCTTTGGCATGTGATAGTTTCTCTGGGGAGAAGAAGAAGAAATATGACACGGTGAACCCTCAATCACCAGTTAGCAGTGCTCGCTCATTTCATGCCACTGTAATCTCTTCGTGAGGTTTGTCACACAGCACCCCTTTTTTTAAAGACTGCACAAAGGTCGGTGTTACTGGGCAGATGTTTTGCATAACTGGTTTGGTTAAGTTGTGCCACATGCAAAAAATAAAAATCAACCACTACAGAGTACCTTTCATGCATAAACTGCTGGAAGACTGTTAGTGGGATCATACAGGATGGACTTTTTAAAGGACTCGTTTGCTGCACAGTGAAGTCATTCGTATATCCCACCTTGTGGAAATGGCATTAAGATCTATGCATACTTTATGGACATACAAATCAGAAACCACCAAAGCGTGTAGATTAAAACCCAGGTGACTGCAAACTATTAATCCACACTAAAACCAGAAATGCTCACCTTTGTAAAACTGATATTCAGATGAACGCGTAGAGTAACAACTAATCATAAAATACACTGTTAATAACCTAATAAGAAAATCATAATAACCTATATAGTTAGCTGAGACTTTGCATCAAACAGTTCATAATTTCCTTACACACTGGCAACAAACAAACAAAAAACAACAGACAAAAGCTGCAAACTAGGAAAGAAAACGAGCTTTAATGAATTATGTTTTGCAGAGTAAGATCAGCAGAGGCACATACGATCAGAGGAGATGAACATTTAGAGGCACAGCAGACAGAGAGAAAGAGCGAAACATGTCTCTACAGAGATGTCATGTCATTGAGGGCATGGTCCAGCTCCTCGCTAATGGCCTTGTACTTCAGCTTCTGAGCATACAATTCATCTGGACGCCAGAGGTCGACAAGAAGCAGAGGCAGGTGCCAACGACAGCAGCGACACAAGCAAGCCGAAAGCAGGACGAGAGCGACAGACAGATGGAGGCAAAGAGCAGAGGGAGAAAGGAAGAGACAAAAAAATAGGTCAGCCTTTTTAAAGATGCAGAAATGCTTGGAAGAAAGAATGATGAATACCTAATTATGCTCAAAGCTCTTCACGTTTGTTTTTTGTTGCTGGGGGAGCTTTGAGCATTTAAGACTTTTGTGAAAGTCTCATAAAACTGATCCAATAAATCCATGAACTCAGCTGCCTGTGGTTCAACAACTAAACGATCCTGACCTAAAAAAAAAAAAAATGAGTACATTCTGTCCTCTTTGCTGCCGCTGCAGCTTCGTGGCTGACATGGAATACTTGTCCTTCAGTAACAAGGGTCTTTTATTAGCCTGTCTTAGTGAAATAGTTTCCATACATTTGGTTCCTGTGGAAAATCCTCTTTTCCACAGGAAAAAAATTCCAGTGATGCTGAAATAGGACACCTCTTCTAGAACTCAGGCCAAAACTCAGGTAAGTGATTTTGCAACTGTGTATGAAGATGTGCTCGTAGTTCATCAGCAAATAAATCACCATTTAATGAACCTGAACGCATCTTTGCAGGTTCACTTAAAGCTAGCAGACAAAATGATTTGGGCTCTGGGTGGCTGTGGCTACAATGTAGCTTGCCATCACCAGTGTGTGAATGTGTGTGTGAATGGGTGGACGACTGGATATGTAAAGCGCTTTGGGGTCCTTAGGGACTAGTAAAGCGCTATATAAATACAGGCCATTTACGATTTACATGTTCTGTTAAAAAAGAAAAAGATTTTGGGCCACAGATGCTGCAAATCCCCCCAAAACCTCAATATGAATGTGACTCTCGTACCTTCCAGGTCATCGATGCTCTTTTCCAGTTTGGCAACTGTCCTCTCGGCAAACTCTGCACGGGTTTCAGCCTGGGAGGAATTCAGACAAAGCATGTCAAAACAAACTGATGAGCGCCAACAAACACATCCATCATGAAAGACTGCAACAGGAGAGCTTTTCAGCCAGCCTTGCTAAGCTTATGGAAATGTCACATTTAACATTTTAGTGATGGAGGGGAAAATGCTACAAATGTCTCTGAATGACTGGATTATTCTCACTATTATAAATTTTATTCTTAATTCTGTGAAAACACCATCATCTCACCTCCTTCAGTTTGTCAGTCAGAACTTTGATCTCCTCTTCGTACTTGTCTTCTTTTTCTGAGTACTGGTGACAGACGGAGAGGCAAAGAAACAGCATTAGCTCACACTTAGCTTTCAGCAGCAAACGTGCACACAATGGGAGCACAAAACGGCACCATCCCAGGATTATTATTGCTTTGAGAGCTCATGGCGCCACTCCCTCGCTGGCACGTAACAGGAAAGGTGTTGGCTTGTCCTGGGAACAAGTTCTGCTGTTACGCTAACCACTGCAGGTCGGTTTCAAAACCAAGCCATGCCATATTTGCTAAAGAAAAGTTGTCATGAGGTAAACCTGGCATGAGGTAAACCTGGCATGCCGTTGCACTGCATGCCTGTGCACGGGCGGGAATGAAGCAGACACATTTCTGAGTGCGGCAGGTTTCTACTGGCTGCTTATATACACACACCTGAAACACCTTACGTAGCCAGTAACACCACTCATACACACATGAAAAAGAAAAAAAAAGCCTCAGTGGCTAATTTGTCATGCGGTAGATAAGTTGGTGTGCAAACATATATTTAAACAGCTGCATATCAAAGGAGTTCAGGTGCCGAGCTCCCTTATATAATAGCTTGAGTGCAAAATAAATGGTTTTAAGGAGGGCCTGATGATACACAGTTATAATGGAGGTAGTATGAAACAGTCCTTTGCCATGTGGTCTCTCTCTCTCTCTGAGGACAGCTCACCCAAATTACGGTGCACCGAGCCATGAGTAAAGCCCTAATGATAGGATTCGTGTGTGCATGGTGCCAGACTTGGTGTTCAGTATATATATTTAGTTTTTCTGTTTGTGTTTGTGAAAGACAATGAAAGCAACTGCCTAAAGTTTTAGTTTGTTTTGTCATATTATTAGATTTTCACAAATCACATTGATGCATTTTGACAGGAAACCTTTTTTTCCTCCTTTACTGGATAAAATCAGATTTTTTTAATATATTTGGAAGATTCTTGTTTGGAAAAACACCACCAATCTCCAGAAAGCCAAAGCAGAATTATTACTTCTTAAAGTGTCAATGCATTTCGTCTTGTACCTTCTCAGACTGGGCTTCTAAGGACTTCAGGTTGTTGGTCACATTTTTCAGCTCCTCCTCTAGGTCACTGGCTTTACTGTAAGGAGAATCCCACGCATACTTTGTTTTAATCTGCGAGCCGCACAAGAGACCATGCATCTGTATGTGAGTCAACGGATTTATACATTTGTGCGCTTATTGCATTTACCATTCTGAGAGCTCGGCCCTCTCCTCAGCTCTCTCCAGCTCGCCCTCCAAGATCACCAGTTTACGAGCCACCTGAGACAGAAAAAGAGAAATATTTTAAACTCAAAAAACTAAGAGGCTATTAACGATCTGAATAAGGGAATTTCTCTCTTGCACTTAAGCCGTCACTGTCAGAATCACCTCCTCGTATTTGCGGTCGGCCTCCTCTGCGATGTGTTTGGCCTCCTTCAGCTGCATCTCCTGAATCTCCATCTTCTCCTCATCCTTCATCGCTCGGTTCTCAATCACCTTCATTCCTCTGGGATGACAGGACACAGCGTGAGGAGAGGACAGACTTTCTTTTGTGAAAGTCAGGTGAACTAGATAACACACGTTCTCCCGCGCAAGGCAGACTTTTTCTCCACTTGTGTCTAATGCGAATAAGAAACTGACCTCTCGCTTTCATCTGCAGCCTTCTCTGCCTCCTCCAGTTTCTGCAGCGCTGTGGCCAGTCTCTCCTGGGCACGGTCCAGCTCCTCCTCCACCAGCTGGATCCTACGGTTAAGAGCTGCTACCTCACCCTCTGCCTGCAAAGGAAAAAAAAAAATAAAAAATAGGAAGAACTTTAGTCATGCATTTATTCAACTTTAAGTCACCCGAAGTTGTCTGTCGTCCTCCACCATAAAACAGGAAGAGAAGGAAATGACACAATGACAGAAGTCGGGGGAAAGAACTTTTCACCCTGTTTTCAGCAATTGTTGCAACAAAAATCAGTGAATGTCCAAACCAACCAGAAGGACGTAATTTTAAAAGTAAAAGGGAATAAAAATTAACATCTTGTAGATTTAAGCAAGGCCTGTGTGGACAGGATATGGTGATGTCCTGTCTACACTTCCCTAACAACTACTGTTATCAGGAGGTTGAATCTCTGTCTTTTTTTGAACTTAAGTTCCTCATCCAACAAATTGATGCATCACTTTAAAACCAAACCACATCTATTATGAACAAAAGTCCAAAAATGAACTCAAGTGTTGCATATTTCACCACATGAAACACTTTTTTTTTTTTTAAAGCTGTCAATGGAAGAGCAGCTATACAGTCACACAGTACAATGCCTACCCAGAACTCTGATAAAAATATTTAAATACAGCCACCTGAATATAATCATGGTGCTATGACGACAGGGAAATATTCACCCTTATCATTCATATCCTAATCCTCACTAACAAAGTGAATCCAAACAAAGGCTGCAAGTGAGTGAGTGAGTGAGTGAGTAAGGGGGAGACAGTGTAATCTACTCTGTGTGCTCTCTGGGGTCACTCGGGTTTCTCAAATCAAAATGTGACGGTTAAAATGTGAAATGGAGGCAGCTGGAGGTCGTTGGGAGATTCGTCCATAAAAGCAGGGCCCAACTCTAACCGTCTTTAATGAGAACATGCTGCATCTGGCTGGAAAGTGTAATTCCTTACAATGTAGCAGGACGTCTGAGCGAAACATTTAGACAAACTCAATTTCCGGTGATGCTCAAGCCACAACTGGACAAAGGAGGGAGAACGAATGGGCTTCTGCTCGTCTGCCCTCGATAAACAAAAAGCCAGAAAGAGGAAAAAAGAAAGCAAACAGACAACTACACAAGAATTTCCTCTGTTGGTCGGGGAGTTTATCCAACAATCATCTCCTTGGGAGTTGCATTCAAAGTAAAAACTGAGCTCAGTCTTAGCATAACACAAAGAACCTGCTGTTAAAATGAAAGTTCCCAACCAGACCGATAAGTTGCTGAACCATTCACTGAAACCCGGAGTACTCACACAAGTTTATTATGTCTACAAGCTCGCAGGCTGTATTCTCTGCTCTGATGAGGGCAGCAGTTAGTAGGTCAGTGACTCAGTAGCCAGTTTTTCAGTCCAGCAATCGCTCTGATCAACCGTCAGTGTCGCCACCATTCAGCTTACAGGCAGAGGAGTCATTCTGCGCAGAAATTGGTGACTGAAAGTCACAAATAGAAAATGAGATGACTGATAAGAAGGACCAATGCAAAGAAAAGAAAAAACAGAGAGCTTAAATATACTGAGACTTCCATTCTGTCATAGACTCGATATGTTCAGGAAATCCAAGCATGATGACACAGGCTTCATTCTCATTTTTAGTATTTTCTCCATCCTGCATCCATCTAATCTTGGCCTGGTGACCCGCCACTCCCACCGCCGGTCGTCTGTGTGTTTTTTTTTCCCCCCACCCTCTTCTTCATCCTCTCCCAGGTCCTCCCCTGCTGCACAGAAAGCTCACAGGGGAGGCCACCCATACGAGACAGGAAATGTCTGCCTAACTATCGCTGACGTGTCTCAAAACCGCCGGCACTTGACAGACGTTGAAAACCGAACCGGACACAGAATGAATGAAAAATCATAAATCGCTCAGAACATCTTGAAATCTCATCAGCAGTGTCGCTCGCACAGGTCTGCATCCATCGACGCCACATCTGGCTGCCCAGAAACGTTACCTAGTATTCAACTGCAACCTGAAATAACAGATATTGGTACTTCCTGTGTCCTGAATGGAGCAATATCCAGCACACAAACAAACATGCTATTCATCTGTTTTAGGTCATCTACGTTAGCGCACCAGCTGCTGTAATGTGCTTCCAGACACGCACACGCTCTGCAAACATGCAAACAGACACTCTTATTGCACCAATCTCTGCCTCTCACAAACACACACACACACACATATATAATTACCAGCTATCCAGTCTCCTACCCAGTAAACTGCGTTCAAGTATCAAAACAGACAAACATAAAAACCTCAGCTAACACCGGTATGGTGGCAGTGACAGAAATGTGTGCAACCTGGTGCCTTATCTGCCATCTGCTCATAGCAAAAAAGGCAGGGAGTGGGGGAGCCCCATACAGACAGAGACACCCTTGTGTCAGGTTTAAAAGGAAAAAAAATGAATGTATTTACAGGTTATCTCATGCTTCTAATTGACTGAGCTGTGAACAAAGAAGAGCCTTTCCTGTAAATCCTGAATGCACAGTTTTAGCCACAGACTCTTTTGCAGCTTTAGAAAATCATTTAACCTTGGCCGGTGCAGCCACAAGCCCAGCAGCAAAAGCTGACTGAAAAGTATTCAGAGCCTTTGTGCGAACACGATGTCAAAACAATGTTACCATAAATGCCAAGAAACAAGAAGTAAGGTTAACGACGAGCTTTCACTACTCATCATATAGCAAATGAGGATCTTGAAAAAAGGTGACAGGAAGTACGCTGCCCAACATCCTTTCATTTCCTCCCTTTGATTGTTCTTTCTTTCACTGCTCCGTCTGTCTCTCTGGCCATGCCCCTTCCTTTAGCACCCACTTTTCATTCTTTGGCTGCCAGGGACGCACCCTGCCTTATATGGTAAAACAAACTATGGAGAATGTTTGTGGTGGAGTATCAGGAAGACTGAGGCAACAACCACGCAGACTTTAAAAGATACTGGGACACAAGTAGCTGCTCTGTTGTCACCGTAAGTTAATATGTCACCAGCTTTCGAAGTCAGGAATGGAGCTTTACTGCTCAGTGCAACCAACAGGCTGTGTGGCTATTAGAGCCACAAGATTCCTAAAGCTTTAGCTCAACATTTCGGGAACTAAATTCTAGTCTGAGATTTAAAAAAATAAAAATAAAAACCACTGTTAACAGTCTCAAAACACAAAACTTTGGACTGACAAAATAGTTCCCAGCTACAGTGGAGACTATGGATAAGCTGCGGATTTAAAGAGCCTAACTGCCATCATTCCCAGCCAATAAATAGTGTTAATTAGTGAGCTTAGATGGGCTGATTACAGCAGATTACACTGACTGACTGCCATAGTTTCATTTTATTGTGCAGCAAGAAAGCAGTGCAAGATGTTCCAAGACATTAAGCTACCTTTTTAACAGACACTGCATTAGTAAGTGGCACAGACTACGGTACTACTGATGGCATGGAGTGATTCATCTGTCTTAGTTGAAGTTGGAGCACTCGAAGTGAGGCTGCAGACTGCTGGGAGTGACTTAAGAAATACCTGAGTGTATTACATATGTTAGAGACAGCATCAAGGACAAGTGAAAGAGGAATCTAATTACTGGCTGATTTCAGGGCAGTGGGCTAATGAGCGGCACAATGCTGTTGGGGTTCAGTGCAAGTTATTCCTGACTGCCTGCTGCTCTTAAAGTTACTCTGTGTTGGTTCGTGACAGAAAGAAAGTGTGTAATCATTTCCCACAAAGATCTGGCATGCAAAGAAAGCTGCATAAAGTATAAGGCAGTCTGTCATGAAGTATGTAAAAGACGGTTGTTAAACATTCAGACAAGCATCACAATGAGCTCCTTCAGCGCTAAACAATTTGTCGCCATTTAAAAGCATGTACTCAGACTTTTAGGAGGATCTCGACTCTGGTCTGAGTCTTCAGCTCAGTGTGTCTAATCCTAACCAGAGGCTGATTGCAACCCATTTGTGAACCGCACCACCAGGAATCCACAAACCATAAGAAAAACCAAATTTTTCCAGCGTTGATGCAATCTAACTTTCCAGATAAATATTAACAGGGTGATTTTTACCTGCAGGTCAAATATGAATCCCGGTAATCCGAGTTTCCTTCAGGTTACCATTTCCACTCTGCATTCACAAGCAAACAGACTCGCTGAAGTGACTCACTTTCATGGACTCTAAAAGCAGTTCAAACACAACTTGGTGCTGTATACATGCTATTTAATGACATTACAGCAAATTCGCCTGTGCTAGGACTAACCGAACAAATATAACCCACTCCTCGTTTGAATGAGAACCCTCAGCCTTGGCCTGCATAATCAGCAAAGCCACAAGCCACTTACATGGGAGTGTTCCCCAGGATGCCAGCGACTGCCAAAAAGTATCAACATGTGGCAGTTATATTTGGAAAGTTGAGCTATTCCCAGGGAGAAAGTCCAAAGAAAACAGTGAAATCAGGAAGTAATTCTTTCCACAGAATCTGCTGGAGACTCCTAGAGGCCCAGCAGAAAGCCTTAGCTGACCGCACAAAGCAACAAACGAACACCTTTAGCTCAGCAGATGAGTTTGGGGACGTTGTTTTTCACGATAAGCATTTTTTTTGAATGGCTTCCTGCAATTTACTCTCGATATGAGATGCAAGTAAACAAATACAGTTGCCATAAGCGTAGGATGCAACTTCAGTGTGTCTAATTAAATGTTGTAGTGCAAAAAAAGACTGCAGACTTCTGCTCTACATGGAGAGAATAGTGTTAGTAACTATAAGAACATAACAGGACACTAAAGATGAAGTGGCACATCAATGTAGAAACACCAACTTCACCGAGCACAGTAATCTTCCTGTGGATCAGGGCTGGAGCCAGGGGACAGGAAGTGTTGGGAGTAGAAGCGCAGGAAGTGCTGGACCAGGGTCGGCAGCCGACATCCTGGGAGGGTCAGTCGGAGGGAGGGCGTGCGTGGGGATTCCTCAGTAAGAATTCCACTTCCCTTTTTATATTTATTTCTGTATTTCAAACTTGCGTGTGGTGAAACACTGATGCTCACCATGGCAACTGTAAGTTGTCCTCACAACAG